GTTGTTCGGAAAATAATGTCCGATTTTACATCATTTCTCTTTCTGGATGAATATTTCAAAGGGGTTTTCAGTGATTCATACGTCAAGATGGCTAAACATATTTGAACACGCGGAAAGAATTAGTTTATTTTATTTTATTTATTTTTTTTTAGATATTAAACATTTTGTTGGTTGGACAATTATGCTGTTACACGATTTGGACAATTTTGCTGTTACAGCCGGTATATAATATTTTATGTATTTTTTAATTTTTTTTTTTTCAATTTTCGAATAAGATGAATATTGGGATAGAAATACTGGATAAACTCTCTCTGTCAGAATCAATCAATATCTACCTGCCATTTGTCTTTATATATATATATATATATATATATATATATATATGACGTCATATGTTAAATGGACGAGGTCCGACAATTTATTTATTAAAGACATTTTATTTATGTTTACGTTGTTATTTTTATAGATACAATATTTAAGCAAATACTCTGTTTATGATAAACAGTATTAAATAACATTTACCGGCCTGAATGTCGAATTTTCATAGAAAATATTCGTTCATAGACAAATTCGAACCTGCATCCTATATGGAACCGTATATGGCGGTTCCGTATAAGATGACAGGTTCGAATTTACTGTTATGAACGAATATTTTCTATGAAAAGGTTCATGGTGGCCGACATTCAGGCCGGTAAATGTTATTAAATGCTGTTTATCATAAACAGAGCATTTTTAAATACTTGTATCTATAAAAATAACAACGTTAAACATAAATAAAATGTCTTTAATAAATAAATTGTCGGACCTCGTCCATTTCTTAACATATGACGTCATTTGTTTACATTCGATACGCCAGAGCAGTTATGAATGTACGAGATTCATGGAAGATTGTAGTTTATAACAGTAAATTCGACCTTGTCTACCATAAGGTTCATGGTGGCCGAGTGGTCAAGGCACGCCAGCGTATATGGCGGTTCCGTATAGGATGCAGGTTCGAATCCTGTCTATGAACGAATATTTTCTATAAAAATTTCTCGGACATTCAGGCCGGTAAATGTTATTTAATACTGTTTATCATAAACAGAGCATTTGCTTAAATACTTGTATCTATAAAAATAACAACGTTAAACATAAATAAAATGTCTTTAATATATATATATATATATATATTCTACGTGCCATGGATCCTCAGCACGTTGAGGGTCATGGCTCTCCACAATTTCATATCTTTTGTAGCTCTTAATAAACGTTGCTTTTTGTTATCTCCCAAAAACCTTGTTCTACCATCCATTTATTCAAATTCGCTAAATAAGAATTGTGTTGTTTGATTCAGCCATTTAGTCTTCAATCTCTCCTGTGAGTATCAAATTTTCCAGACCCTATTTCCTCAATATGTTTCCTAGAATTTTCAACTGTTTCTTCCTGATGTTAAGTAACTTCGTAGTTGCTTACATATTCGGTTCATGTTGTTCTCAGCATCCTTCGGTAGATTCACATTTCTGCTGCTTTAAGTCTATTGTCCTCATCTTTGTCGCCATATTTATTACAACGTTTCGACGGTTGTACGCTACGGCCTTCTTCAGGTGGATGGAATTTCGAACCGAACCCTTTATTTCGCTCACTGGGGTAGACTGTTCTAGTTCCACGTGCCATGTTTCAATGGATGTCAGTTATCAGTTATCTCCTGTTAATTCCCCTCTGCAAGTTCTCCACTGCCTTAAACGGGTACTGAACTCGCACTCTTTGGGTTCTGTCACTGAATCTAACCAACGCCTTTATCCACTGTGCCATGTAGTGACAGGACCCAAAGAGTGTGAGTTCAGTACCCGGTTAAGGCAGTGGAGAACTTTCAGGGGGGAGAATTAACAGACGATAACTGATAACTGACATCCATTAAAACATGGCACGTGGAACTAGAACAGTCTACCCCAGTGAGCGAAATGAAGGGTTCAGTTCAAAATTCCAACCACCTGAAGAAGTCCGGACCGTACAATGGCCGAAACGTTGTACTAAATATGGCGACAAATATGAGGACGATAGTACATAATACCTCATCTCAGAAATACAGACAGTTGCCTCAAGTATCTTCTTCACCTGTGAGGAGATTGTCCAGCATTTACTGCTATATAGGAGGATTGATATTACGTAATTTTGTTCTCAGCATGCTTCGATAGATTCACATATCTGCTGCTTCAAATTCTCTTCTTCACCTGTGAGGACATTGTCCAGCATTTACTGCTATATAGAAGGATTGATATTACGTAAGAGTTCAATACTCTTTTCGCTGGTTCTAACGAGGGTTTTCTGTTTCATATTACTTTAGCCATCTTTTGGAAGGCACTTTTCAATACACCAACGCACACCCAGATTTCAGTGTCGCACTTTCCATATACGGGGTCTAGATTTTCTCTTAAGATCGGATTGATGGGAAGCGAAAGAGAGAGAAAGTTTACTGTTCAGTTAAAAAAAAAAGAAAAAAAACAAAGAAAAGAAATTATGGAATGAAAAAGCAGACAACATTCTGTTCAGCATTGACCTTTCTTGTCCGAATGCCAAATTCAATGACCGTCGTTAATCAGCTTGAGACGTGTACTCTGGTGTTTTCGCGTCGTCTTTCGACCATTATGGCAATAATTTTACCACATTTTTTTTTCTTTTCAGTACTCGTTTTTTTTTTTTTTTCATTGTATTTTTTCTGGTTTCGTTCATATGTCACTTTTCTTCTTTCCTCCATCTTTCTATGGCCATTAAATGGCTATATTTCTGTCATTGTCTCTTTCTCACTCACTCCCCTTGCCTTTAACCTTTTTCTCGTCTCGTTTCTTTCACGATAATACCGAACAAATAGATATATAGGTTCTTGTCACGTCCTAGCAGTAACCTAAAATCTCTAGAAATTGGAACAGATCACAGGAAGCAACTGTAAAAGGAAAAGTTTATCTTTGAGTGATACATTTAATATATTTTATGACACATAAGAAACATGTTAAAAAATGTCTCAAAAATTGTCCCGTGTCTTATATGCAAAATGGTGGCTTCATGTAGACCAATATTATCTTCGATACTCACTACCGTAGGATATAAGTATTAGCTGAGTCAGTTCTACAGACACGTATTTTATATTGATATTATTTACTTGAAGTACATTATTACATTAATGTTATTTATTATAAAGGACATTATTATAATTAGCAGATCGTGACATCTGTCAGAAAGATTGAATTTAAATTTTTATTAAGGCATTATTAAAAACTTTTAATACATCAGCAGATAGCTCTTAACGTCAACAACTGAGTAAAAATAGTTATTAATTAACACCTTCTAATTAACCTATAATATTATCTACAATTACATGTACAAGAATGTCGATTTTGATAAAAGTTAAAAAAAATAACAATAAATACATAAAAAATGCATATATTGTCGAAAATTACCTTTTCCACAATATAGCTATTTGTGCTATGTTATAATACTGATGACTAAAACAACAACAACAATAATAATAATAATAATAATAATAAAATGTTGTTGATGATGACGGTCGTCTTCTTGTATAGAATCCAGAGGTTAGCAGTGAATATTTTGAAGACAGTAGGAAAGCGTTGTTCAGGTTAGCAGTGGATATTTTGGTAAAAGTAGCAGAGCGTAGTTCGTCCTTCTGTTCCTCTTCGCCTGACAAGCTGGCACTGGACATTCGGATAGAGTAAACAAAATGGCCGCCTTTATACACTACGGATTGAATGTTCTACGTCTTCTGATTGGTTAACCTTCTATTGGTGGCCCATAAAATGAGTCAAGTCATTGGGACTGGCTCACTAGTACACAATATACATTAATCTCCTTCCCCTCTCATTATTCAGTGGATGTGATATTATGGTGCATGGAGGATTGATTGGTGATGGACGAGTTCTTGTGGTGAATGGGCAATTGTAAGGTATGAATGGGTCGTGAATCAGATTAGCTAGGTATAGGATAGTTAGTGTGGACCAGCCTTTACCCCTCCTCCTCTTCGGCCACGTGCCACAATTTGTACTTAAAAATACAATAAATCTCCTATTACACAATATACACAAAAAACTGCAACATAAATAGGACCTGTTACAATTCTATGGGACTACACAATACACACTGATAGAACAACCAAAGTCAACCGCCCAGATATTGTTATTAAAGACCACAAACAAAAAAGGTGCCTCCTTATTGATATGGCAATCCCTGCTGACGGCAATGTATCTTTGAAGATATTCAAAAAGCTGTCAAAATACAAGGACCTTGAAATAGAAATCTCGAAAATATGGCATATAGAACATCAACAATCCCTGTTGCAGTTGGAGCCCTAGGACTGGTTGGAAAAGATTGCAGTAGACTAATTGAAGGGATTCCTGGAAGTCCATGCCTCAAGGAGATACAAAAAAAATTGTTCTGACAAGTACAGCCCACACTTCAGGAAGGGCTTTATCTATGTATTTTTTTTTTTTTCGTCAGTGGAAAGTGTCATGATGCCATTTCTAACCTTAGGTCACTCGGCAGGACCCGGAAAGAAATGTGTAAACGCCAGAAATCAAAGAAAATAATAATAATAATAATAATAATAATAATGGTAGTAAGTTGGCGGCATAGTACAAGATTGTCTGTAAGGTCTCATCAGCTTACATTTGAAATATTTATATGTTACCGTAAGTTCTATTCTGTCTATATTTCTGAGATGAGGTATTATGTACAGTATTTACATTAGTCGGACTATTGTCCTCATTTTTGTCGCCATATTTGTCAACGGCCGAAACGCTGTGACAAATATGGCGACAAAGATGAGGACAATAGTCCGACTAATGTAAATACCGTAAGTTCTATACTAACAGTTTCTTCTCTCTCACTTCTCGTTTGTGAAACATTAAAATATATCTAATCATATCTCCCTAGCTGTCGCGATGTATCAGTCCAAGATCATTTTTATTGAGCTATACATGCGAAGGGAGATAACTCATATCAGTTAATAAACCATGTTTGCTTTTCTTACTGAACCAGAATCTATTTTACTAAATATTAAAGTATATTTAATCACAGCTTCCTAATAGCTTTCGCGATTTGTAAAGAAAATAATTGACCTAACACTCCCGACATTATTCAACATTTCAAGAACACGATTTCACAGAAGAAAAAGAAAAGACAGTGTTTTACAATGTTTAACGATATTTCGACAGTTTATCTGGCTTCTTTGGTTGTGTTTAGCGGCATATGAACACCCCTATGTGTTATTTAATGCTTAAATGTAAATAATTTCAATAATTTTATGGTTTCACATATATTTTAAATGCTACTGTATACTTTCAAGTACAGATAAAATGTATCGCAGGTTATTTTGTTTTAAAAATGTACTGCTGGTCATTTTGTATATAAAATGTATTGCTGGTTATTTTGCTTTAAAAATGTACTGTTGATCATTTTTTTATATAAAATGTATTGCTGGTTATTTTACTTTAAATATGTACTGTTAGTCATTTTGTACATAAAATATATTGCTGGTTGTTTTGCTTACAAAATGTACTGCTGGTCATTTTTTATATAAAATGTATTGCTGGTTATTTTGCTTTAAATATGTACTGTTAGTCATTTTGTATATAAAATATATTGCTGGTTGTTTTGCTTTAAAAATGTACTGCTGGTCATTTTTTATATAGATAAAGAACTTTTTCAATGTGTGAGCTGCACTTTTTTGGATTAATTCAAAGCAAGGTCTAACAAGAAATCCTTCAATGAGGCGATTGGAATATTTTCCAATCAATCCGAGGGCTCCAACTATAACAAACATTGTTGATGTTCTCCTGACACATTTTTGAGATTTCGATTTCAAGGTCGTGGTATTTTGATAGGTTTTTGAAGATCTTCAAGATGTATTGCAGTCTGCAGAGACTGCCATATCAATAAGGAGGCACTTATTTTTGTTTTCGGTCTCTAATAACAATGTCTGATTGTTGTGTCCGTATGTACTGTGTACTGCTATGAGATTTTTACAGGTCTTTGTTATTATTATTATTATTATTAGTAGTAGTAGTAGTAGTTTGGTTTGTTTTACTTTGTTTTGCGGCATATCAACCTCAATGGGTTATTTAATGCTGACAAAATCTTTTATTGCTGGTAATATTTTGTTTTGTCAAAAATCTGTTTCTGGTAATATTTTTCCTTTAAAATTGTATTGCTAGTAATATTTAAAAAAAAAAAGAAGGATTGCTGGTAATAGCTAACTGTTTACCCATAGCTGGGACCCTAACAGGTGCTACCGACCCGGGTCAGGGTGGGCCTGGGAAGACCAGCAATTAAGAAGTGGTTCCACGCTCCTCAAAACTTCCTGATCAGAAGCCTTGCTGCTGGATGTAGTTTAACGTCTTACCCAGGACCCGGATGTAGTTTAACATCTTACCCAGGAGGCGGATGTAGTTTAACGTTTTACCCAGGACGCGGTTGTAGTTTAACGCCTTACCCATGACGTGGATGTAGTTTAACATCTTAGCCAGGACGCAGATGTAGTTTAACGTCTTACCCATGACGCGGATGTAATTTAACGCCTTACCCAGGACACGAATTTAGTTTATCGTCTTAGCCATGACGCGGATGTAGTTTATTGTCTTACCCAGGATGCGGATATAGTTTATCGTCTTACCCAGGACGAAGGAGTAATAGTAGTAGTATCGGTACTATTAAATGAGGCATCGTAACAAACTAATGGCCACAGCAGGGGTTCCATCATACCAAGATATGACTAAACATACTCTTGTCATTAATCAACTGTAAACAAGAAAGAAAAACCTACTTAATTGTAAGAAAGTAACGGTAAAGTTAAAGCAAACCTTTGGAAACATAACATGCAAAGAAATATATCGATTACGACCGATATATAGAATTATTAGTGAAAGGGTAGATGTGATTGCATGTGGTGAGTGCGTTCGGCAGAGCTGATTAATACCAGAAGGTATTACACTGACTGCTCTACTTGAGGTTAACATCCTGAAAATAGTTATTTTTCTCTTATTTCTTTTTAATCATTTCACTGTAAGTAGGGCAATAAGGACAATAAGAATCAAGAGGTTACAGTGTATTAGAGGATATGAGTTAAAACACTATTAAGAAGAGAGAACGATAAAAGAATAAGAATTAAGAAGACAGAAGAAACCTATTGATATTGTATGTCGTCTGGATAGACATGTGCTTTGGAAAGAAATAGTCTAATCTGGTGGTCGATGAGCTGGTTAGGAAAACCATTGTTAACTAGTGCCTGTTCTGCATTGTTGAATTCTTTAAGCAAAAGGGGAATAAAGATATTTCAAATGTAAGCTGATGAAACCTTACCGCCAATCTAGTACGATGCCACCAATTTAGTATCATATATATATATATATATATATATATATATATATATATATATATATATATATTAAGACATGTCATCAGCACTCAACTTGATATTTATGGTGATGGCACATGTATTTACTCCTGTCTCAATAGTGAGTCTGATCATTTCGATAAGGTCAAATTGATAGCTGACCTCAAAATCAGTTGTTAACTGGGGCAACGAATGATTCTTCTACTTTATATATATATATATATATATATATATATATATATAATGATAATAATAATATCTCACATATATATATTAAATAAATTTATATCTAAAATATATCTAATATATATATAATAATAATATCTAACATATATATATATATATATAAAATATATCAAATAATATATATATATATATATATATATATTAAGACATTTTTATGTTTATACATTTTTTTTTATAGATACAAATATTTAAGTAAATACTCTGTTTATAATAAATAGTATTAACAACATTTACCGGCCTGAATGCCCGAGAAATTTTCACAGAAAATATTCGTCCTCCGACAGGAATCGAACCTGTATCCTATATGGAAACGCCATTTAGCCTGACGTGCTTTTTTATTTGGCAGCTAGGACTCACCGTTCTATCGTTTTAATTAAACGTAAGTTCTATGCTAGCAGTTTCTTCTTTTATACTTCGTGTAAAATCTCTTCATGCTTTCTCGTTGACAATTCAAAATGAATCCTGGTCTTTCAGTTTCTTTTCTTTTCAATATCATTTCCTTAATTTATTTTATCCTTCCAAACTCTGCGTCTTAGTTTTTTTTTTCTTGCTTGGCGTGGGAGATACGTGTTGATATCAAACGCTGATAATGAAGGAATTGCCGGACAGTTTGGTAAAGAAAATAAAGGACCAAGAAGAAGTTATAAGAAGACAATGTTCTGTCGTTAGCTAGATCGACGGCTCATAATTCAAGCTACGAATTGTGAAGGCGACTACGACTGAAGAAGACTATCTCCTCGCGAGTGAAGATGATTATCTCCTCGCGGGTGAAGACGACTACCTCCTCGCGGGTGAAGAAGACTGTCTCCGCGCGAGTGAAGAAGTCTGCCTCTGCGTGAGTGAAGAAGACTACCTTCTCGCGGGTGAAGAAGACTGCCTCCTCGCGGGTGAAGAATACCTCTTCGCGGGTGAAGAAGACTATCTCCTCGCAGGTGAAGTATACCTCCTCGCGGGTGAAGAAGACTGTCTCCTCACAATTGAAGACTATCTCCTCGCGGGTGAAGAAGACTATCAACTCGCGGGTGAAGTATACCTCCTCGCGGGTGAAGAAGACTGTCTCCTCGCGGGTGAAGAAGACTGTCTCCTCACAATTGAAGACTATCTCCTCGCGAGTGAAGAAGACTATCTACTCGCGGGTGAAGAAGACTGCCTCCTCGCGGGTGAAGAATACCTCCTCGCGGGTGAAGAAGACTATCTCCTCCGGGTGAAGAAGACTATCTCCTCGCGGGTGAAGTATACCTCCTCGCGGGTGAAGAAGACTATCTCCTCCGGGTGAAGAAGACTATCTCCTCGCGGGTGAAGTATACCTCCTCGCGGGTGGAGAAGACTATCTACTCGCGAGTAAAGAAGACTATCTCCTCGCGGGTAAAGAAGAAATCTGATTGGAGCAAGATGTCCTTTTACAGGAGAATATTTAGACAGTAACGTGGGAAGAATGGAGAAGGATAAAAAATGTATTCTTCGACCGACGCTGTTGCTTCCTGAAGGTCGCAGTTTCTGGTTAATAATATTGTAAGGAAAACAGCGGAACAAAAAATTATGGAGAGAGGGTTTAATCACATGAAGGACATGGATTTATTATACAATAATAGCCAATACCGTACTTCAGTGCAACCACTGTTCCTCTAAGCAGACGTCCAACTCATAAGGAATGGACGTGTCTATATTCAACAATTAATGTAGGGTATATGAGTCGTCTTTCTATACAAAATGTCATTAGCTCTCAACTTGCTATTTATGATAATGGCACAAATATTTCCTTCTGCCTCAATAAGTCTGATCATTTTGATAAGGTCAAATTGATAGCTGACCTCAAAATCAGTTGCAAGGGGCAAGGAATGATTCTTCTACTTTTATATATATATATATATATATATATATATATATATATATATATATATATATATATAATGATAAATATAGGACATTTAAAAAAAACTATCTCTTTCTCTCTCTTCTAAATATATAATAATAATGGACTCTCCCGTCGTTTTCGACGTATGAGGATCTTCCAGCTTATTGATTCAGTTATGAAAATCTTAATGCGATAATCTTAAGTGGCATTTAAGACCCGCTAGTGATTTACAAAGGAGGCCACATATGGAGCAGGTGTGAGAATTGTGAGATGAGATCACTGTTAGATTTGGTGACCTTTTAGATCTTGCTCTCGCTTCTTGAAGATGATTCAGACAAGCAGATTGACAATTTCTGAGTCCACTAAAACACGTTGATTTCCATTCTACCCGCTCAAGGGTGTTATGTGGTATATTAACTGCTGACAAGTTGCTTTTCAGCTTGTCTGTGTATCTTAGCCATGGGCGTCCTACATTTCTGTAGCCCTGATCTAACTGGTTGTACATTAGAATCTTGGGTATCCTGTCATCAGACATTCTCAATATAATATATATATATATATATATATATATATATATATATATATATATATATATATATATATATATATATCATAATAATATAATTATCATTAAAACTATTTTATTTTTCTCATATTGTCTCACACTCAGTAAGACCTTAGTGGCTTTATTGCCTTGGTTGGGGTGAATGTACTTTTATTTATCAACTATCAAACCCCATCACGATACTGTCTGTCAGTAGTTCAAGTTTTAAACCGACTGCACGGTTGTACTCTCTTCCTACGGGCGGGAGGAACCTGAAGGTGGCTACGCCGAAGGGTGGAGTCTCCTTCGGGAGGTAAAACCGGCCCTGAACCCCTTCATTTTTGGGGAGGTAAAAACCGGCCCTGAACCCGTTTATACGGGTTCAAATGGGCCGAAGGGCGGAGTCTCCTTTTTGGCCGAGTCTAATGGCTTGGGAATGCCCACGTTAAAAAGGCCTTGTGCCACATGACACCCACGTGGGGGGGGACTGAATATCGTCAGTCGTTCACCTCTGAACCGACTGTTCGGTTAAACTCTCTTCCTACGGGCGGGAGAAACCCGAAGGAGGCTACGCCGAAGGGCGGAGTCTCCTTCGGGGAGGTAAAACCGGCCCTGAATCCGTTTATACGGGTTCAAATGGGCTCAGTCGTTTTTTGCCGAGCCTAATGGCTCTGAAGGGGAAATGCCCACGTTTAAAAAGGCCTTGTGCCACATGACACCCTCGTCGGGGGGGGTGACTGAATATCGTCAGTATCTACCCACAAATTATACTATTACATTCATCCATCAATTTCTCTAGATTCTTAAAACAGCAACAACATCAATCCAAGGCATTTTAGCATCACTCGATGTAAATAATGTATTTATGAACATTTCAGTATTTAAAATAACATGACATACATCTGAGTTTACAAACATGCTTCACTGGTTCTTCGCTATATATTTAGATAATGGTTGGCCCCAGACTCAGATTGGTTAAGATTAACTGATCAGTGAAACATCCTCTTGGGAGTTTGTTCCACAAATAGTTCTTCGAAATTTATTGTCTGATTGATTTGGATTATTTGAAGCGAAATATTTTGTGGGGATAGGAAAAAATAATTCATTCTTTTTCTTTGCGAGTGAATATTGTATTAATAATTTTTGGGAGATAGCAATGTTTTTTTTTTTTTTCAGATGAAAGTTTTACTATTTAACTCTGTTGGTAGGTAGAAATGGTTTCCTACCAAGCGTATTTACAGGTTGGTGAATGTAACAGTCACAACCACAATTTGAAATCGGATCTCCAATTTCTGATTCCGAGTCGCTCTCTATTACACCAGACGCACATCCACTGGTTCTTGATGACCTAATTAAATTTTTCTTCTTCCTGCTGGAATACGAAGAGAATGTGGGTGAGTCGACGGTATTGGCCTGGAGGAACTAAGAACTGTAGTTCCTCTGAACGTTTTCCATGGAAATAGTTGCGAGAGGCTTGAGTCATTTCGTTTGTGGGAAACAAGTTATACCTTTGGAAACTAATTCTTCTATTGCAAGAGTTGTTCGAAAGGAAAACTGAGATTAGTGTGTGGGTGTTACAGTTTTTTGTGTATATATATATATATGACTAGTGAGCGAGTCAAAATGACTTAATTCCCTTTATAGTCTACCAATAGAAGGTTGACCAATCAGAAGCCGCAGAACATTGTATCCGTCGTGTATAAAGGCGGCCATCTTTGTTTACCCTACCGGAATGACCAGAGCCAACTTGTGAGGCGAACATGACAGACGGAAGACCTACGCTCTGCTACGATATCCACTGCGAACCTAAAGTACGCTTTCCTACTGTCTCCGAAATATTCACTGCCAACCTCTGAATTCTATACTCGAGGACGACCGTCATGAATTTGTAACAGTGGGATCCCTACGCGAGAACGTGGAGCGCCACAAGGTACTACTTTCCTATATGGGCGGATTTTAACACAATATTAAAGCTGGTAGAGGCACCATGGAGTAATCGATAGCGGCTCGGATTGGGGAATCGCAGAGCCGAGTTCGAATTCCAGTCGAATCCATTCCATTCATTTACGTGCTAATACCCTTGGGAAATGTATGAATCATTTCTTTCCCCCCAGCTATGAATAAATAGAAAGACAGAGGGTTCTATAGCCATGGATAACAACTGGTCTAGTGCAGAAAGAAATGGCAACCTACTGCGGGAAAAAAAATCTGCTTTGTCAGTCATGTATCCCGCATGGCACGTAACTGACCGATTAAAGCTGGATACTTTTAGGACATTCCGAGTGCATCTCCTTCTAGTCATGCATGTATACCTGCCTGTGTGCATAAATGCAAGGATACCTGCAAGATTGCTGTCTCACTGCACACACCTACTACTACTACTACTACTACTGCCGCTAATAATAATAATGATAATACCCCTCGTTATCGCAGCAAGTGGGGTAGCTGGTATTTACGCAAACTCACTTGTGGGTGAG